GAAGAACCAAACATGGGAGGTAGTCCTATTGCCCGTAGAGAGGAAAGCTATTAGTTATAAGTGGGTGTACAAGAGAAAGGAGGATCCTTCCGAGCTCGGCGATACAAGGTACAAGACTAGACTAGTGGCTAAGGGGTTTGCACAAAGAGAGGGCGTGGATTACAATGAGATTTTTTCTCTGGTGGTGAAACACACTTCTATTCAGGTACAATTAAGTATTGTTGCTCATGGTGATCTTGAGCTGGAACAACTCAATGTCAAAAGGGCCTTCTTGCACAGAGACTTGGAGGATGAAATCTATATGCATCAGCCTAAGGGTTACAAGGTTGAGGATAAGGAGAATCATGTATGTCGCTTGAGGAAATCACTTTATGGATTGAAGCAATCTCCTCGACAGTGGTACAAGCAATTTGACTCCTTCATGCTAAAGCATGGGTTTTCCAGAAGCGATTATAACTGTTGTGTCTATACTCAGAAGCTTCGTGGAGGTGATTATATCTATCTTCTTTTGTATGTGGATGACATGCTTATTACTTCGAGAAGCAATGTGGAGATAGATAGGTTAAAATCTCAACTTGGTAAAGAGTTTGTGATGAAAGACATGGGCGTTGCTAAGAAATTATTGGGTATAGAGATTAGAAGGAAGCGGGCAAATCGAAGATTGTTCTTGAGTCAGAAAGGCTACATTGAGCGGGTTATCGCAAGGTTTGGGATGCAAAGTGTTAAGTCGGTGGTGACTCTATTGGCTCCACACTTCAGGCTCTCAGGTAAACAATCTCTCACTAAAACGGAAGAAAAGGCACATATGGAGTGTGTACCTTATGCTAGTGCAGTTGGCAGCTTGATGTACATAATGGTGTATACACATCCAGATATTTTGTAGGCGATCGGTTTTGTTAGTAGGTTCATGGCGAATCCAGGAAAATCACATTGGGAAGCAGTGAAATAGGTCCTAAGGTACTTAACGGGTACCGTTGATACAGGTTTATATTTTGTGGAGATACGTATCAGATTGATGGGTTTGTAGACTCTGATTATGCGGGCGATCTAGACAGACGATGATCTACTACTGGTTATGTGTTTAGAATATATGGTGCTCTAATTAGTTGCCAATCGATGTTATAGGCTACAATGATATTTTCTACTACAGAGGATGAGTACATGGCCATGACAGAGGGAGTGAAGGAAGTATTGTGGTTGTGAGATCTTCTAGATGATTTTGGGATTGAGCAGGAGTATGTGAACTTATGGTGCGATAGCCAGAGTGTGATTCATTTGGCTAAGAATCAAGTTCATCATGCTCGTACCAAGCATATCAACGACAGATATCATTTTGTGTGGGATGTCATAGAGAAAGGTGATATTTCTCTTATGAAGGTGCACACAAATGAGAATCCCGTAGACATATTGACCAAGATGGTGACAGGTAGCAAGTTTTAGCATTGCTTGGACTTGCTTCATATCAGCTCGTATTGATCTACCCAAGAGGGCATGGCCCTTCGGGGGAGTGATGGGGTGAGGTGGAGACTATATGGAGAACAATGTGCAGAACTACGATTAGCTTGATCCGGTCAGAGGGTATGTAGGCAGCCATGACAAAATGGTGCAGCTGGTTTTGGCCTATTTTTTGGTGTTTCAGATCTCTCCTGTGATGTTTACGGTGTTCTTCTGGTGTTCGTCTAAAATTTAAGGTTTATCAAATGATGTACGAGGTGAAGAATTGTGAGCACGAGACACCCTTAGGTGTCTCGGCTGTCTCAGCGCAAGACACCCTGAGGTGTTTCGGCACCGAGACACTTCAGGGGGTCTCCGGCCGCACCGAGACAGCAGGTATTTGGGCCCAGATTCGGTTTTTTGACCCTATTTTCTTGGTACAAATAAGAACCTCGTCCTAGGGTTTCTTAGAGAGGGTTTTGCTGGCTGCAGCAGAGAGTTTTAATAGAGTTTTTCAGATCTAAGAAGGTGAGATTTTGAGGAGAGAAAAGAGAGAGAACTTGAAGCGATTGTACAAGAAAGAGATCATCTTCTCTTGGGTAAAATTGAAGCATCATCTCTTTCGGACGAGCTTGCTGGTTGTGCAAGTCGTCGGTGTTCTCCATCATAGTGGAATCTCCCTTCACCCTCTCCCGTGGACGTAGGCAAGTTTGCTGAACCACGTAAATATCGTGTTTTCTTTATTGTTTTGTCGTGTATTTGCTATTGCTTGTATTGGTTGGTTTCCTTGATATTCTGATCTAGATCTAATATTGGGAAGAGTATATATCTCACCTCGCTGAGATATTCACTTCTGTTCTTGTTTCATTTCGAAACTAGAACATCGAGATTGACTTGAGTTTTGTGAAAACAAAAGCCAGGGCTTTCTCTCGTGGTGATTTGCTTCCGCGGCGAGTGAGCGTGTCGGCCCCCAACAGTTAATTTTGAAACCGGAATAACTATTTATAAACATATAACCCCATCCCCTTAAGTGACATTAGATGCATAGTACAATGCATTCATAGAATACACAAGTTTATAATCAGTTAACATGCATATATCTCATTGCATATACCACATATTTGGTGTTGCATGACATTCCTTGGCCAATAATACGTAAATCCTTATAATCCCTTGTTATTGCAAAAATATGTCATAAAATAACAAGCACACGCAGAAGGATGGCTCAAAGTTTACTCAACTTTACAGGATGACTACCAGAAAAATTTATAATAAATCCTTCAATTCACGAGACACATCATCACAAAAAGCACATTTTCACTCAATTTAACTGAATCAAAAAATAAACTTACGATAACCAATATCTCAATCCTATGGCCAATTCATTAGAAAGAAATTTAGGCAATAAAAGTAATATATTTTTCGCATCTACGCCAACGGAGAGAGGGGAAGCCTCATCAGATCCCTACAAAAGAAATTCCAAAATCGCCATCAAGCAATGTCAAGAAACAAAAGCGGGATAAATAAAAAAGCAAAGAAAGTAACGAACCCAGAAGCCAACGTTTAGGGTTTCAGTCGGCGGTTCTAGGGTTTGGGCCTTGATGGACTTGGGAGTGGCATAGGTTCTAGAAGGGAGAGGGCGAGATTAAAGGGAGAAGCCGGGCTTGGATCTGAGGAGAGAGAAAGAGAGTGATGAAAAACGAAAGAATCAGAGATGAAGAGGCAAGAGGGGCGGGTGGAGCGGCAGAGCTGAGAACGGTTAAAAGAGGGAGATGAATAGGCAGATGAAATAAGATAGGCCACGTAATAGCTATTTAAGATTTACATTTTAATTAATTAATTAAACTAATAATAACAATTAAAAATGTAAATAATTATAAACATTTAATAAAAATCCATTACATCGATTTTTTTATAATGTTTAAATAAAAATTATAGCAAATCTAATAATCAAAATAAATCTGACTTATTTATAGAAATAAAATAAATAAATAAATAAATTATTTTGATATTTAATAAAAACTAGTGTGTGTGTGTGTGTGTGTGTATTTGTATTTGTTTAAATAAATTAAAAGTTGAGATATTGTAGCAATTAAAATGGACGGTTTAGATGAGATGTCTGTGTGTTAATTTTGAGAAGGTGAAAACTGATATGACATTTCATGATAAGTTTTTAAGTTTTTTGATTTTACTTTAATATATACATTAAATTAATTAAAAGTTAGGGAAAAATGTGTCTGGGCCCCAAAAGTAGAAACTTCATGTGCTGCAGCCCCTCCTAGTTTTCCCCATGTGGTTCAGCCCCTTGAAGTGTGATATTTTGTGTTGCAGCCTTTTTTTAGCAATTATTACATGCCAGCTAAGCTAAAATCCCCAAACTATCCTTATCCCCTCTCCTTAATCCCTCAGACCCAGTACTCATATCCTCTCTCTCTCTCTCTCTCATTTTCTCTCTCTCTAAAATCAAGGGCTTTCTTAAGCTCGTCGTCATGGCCCTCGTCCTCCTCAACATCGCCGCCTCCGCACAGGCCCCCAAGCCTCCCCTCGGGTTCGCCGCCGCCTCCCCTCCTCTCCTCCGCCCATGTAATGCCCCGCCCCGGAATCCCAGAGTCGGTACGTTATTAGATCTGATGGACTGGCCTCACAAACCACCACATGTCTTTTCAGCACGTTTTGTCCTCACTCACGCGCTCCCTGGAAAACTTCCTAGGGGGTCACCCATCCTAGAATTTCTCCAGGCCAAGCACGCTTAACTTTATAGTTTCTAAGAGTTGTGTTTCCAAAAAGAAGATGCATCTTGGTGGTATGAGTATTCCAATCAAATCTATCAATACTAATCACATCACCCTCTCAAGGGTTGGGGTATTATAACCAAAATACAGATCATATGAATAATTTGAATCCGTAATTTGAATATATCATGATAAATGATCATAAATATGTGAGGTAAATTTGAATATAGGGAAAAATGTGTCCAAGCCCCAAAAGTGGGAACTTCGTGTGACTAGCCCCCTTGTACTTTGCCCCATGTGGAATAGCCCCAAAAAATGAGCTTTAATGTTTTAAGCCCCCTCCACGTCACCTTTATACTAAGGGTGCGTTTGGGAACTTTGATTTGGATTTGGGAAGTTGATTTAAAATCAAGGGATTTTAAATTTAGGATTTGAAATCCATGAATTAAGAAATCTTTTGTTTGGATATCTTTATTAAATGAAAGGATTTGAAATCTTTGATTTCAAAATCTAATGTTTGGGTAGTTTATTATACATGAATTTGAATTTAAAATTGATAAAAGATGTGTAAAATAGTAACCAAAAAACACAAATTTAGGTAATTTTGCCGATGATAGCTACATTTGCTAAGTTTTCAAATTCATTGCCCACCATAACTTGCAAGAATTTCAACAAAATAAAAATGAAGAAAACTCTACAAACATATCAAGTATCTTACAAAAAAACATCTAAATAATACATTACCATTGCATATTTCACAGATATCCAGACTAGAAAACACTTGAGGGTTGTTTCATATTTCATACATATTCAAAGTGAGAATAAGTTAATATCAGAGCAAATAAGTAACAATTCCATTATCTTCTCAAATGCAGGTACAACTGACAATTACATAGTCAATTTGGTCTTTGATATACCAAGAGAAATGTTAATAAGAAAAAATACAAAGAGTTGCAAACTTAATAGCATGTGAGAAGAGAAGTATCCTTGATGTAAAGAAATTTCAACTGGGGATTTAGAAGTGCTCGTATGATAAACCCTATCCGCAGCAACAAAAGAGGAATTCATTAGCCATCACGATATGAGCCCAAAACCTGCAAAGAAAATGAGCAGATCAATAATTTTTTTCAATCAAGCTAACAAGCTAACAAATTAAACAAAAATGTCGGATAAGTGAGACCTGTGAGAGTATTGGTTAGGGAAATCAATACACTAGATGATACACAACCTAATAACAAACATGAGAACTACATTTGCGCACACTTTACAACTCAGCCTAACATCATACATGAGACTTAGTCACTCAAATTTGTCTAGCATCATACATGAACCAAAGGAAGAGCACAAATAATTACTTCCAGTCCAGAATTAGCACCTAGAGAAAAAACACAGGTAATATAAAAAAGAAAAAGATTAAGAAAACAAAAAAGGAACCATGTACTTCGGATCTCGGAACTCTACACGATTGAGTAACAATTAGCTTAAATTTCACCTTGTTCTTTGAACACTCCGAAAGTTTTTGCCCCACTTCTTTCACTCTTTTCTCTTCCTCCTATAGAAAGTTAACAGAAAATTAATATCACTTAACTGAAAAATGAAAGACGTACACATTATCGGTATTCAATGTTACTAAAATCTTAGACAATACAATAGTGCAGAAAAAGTAATGTGTTCATACTCTGGTATACTAGCATAACTTTCAACAATTGTTTAACCATAAACATCCAACCGTGTAGTTTGATATCATAAGTTTAGCAGAAAAAGTGCGTCAAGGAAAGTATTTGGCGAATCAAGGAGTGGAGAATCAAGGAGACAAAAAATAACCATGAACTTCAGTAGATACTCACTGCATATGTTTGTCTACCCAAGTGTCCACAGTTAAATAGTAATGAGGAAGAGTCTGTTTAGAGAGCAATAAGCGTGAAGAAGTGACCTGAAAATGATTACATAACATGGATAAGAAAGCACAACTAAATATAACAGAGTACAAATGACATAGAAATCTTGTAAAAAAAAATTACTTTTCTTATTTGGGAGTTAGGGATATCTGCATAACTTAATGCTTGAGCTATTGCTGCATCCTTCACCTTAGAACCCTTTGCACTGGATGCTACATTGTGCACAAAAGACAACATCCAAGAGTGAGCAAAAACTATATATTCAGATACAAATCTACTGCACATGATTTTCCTTGTTGGCTTTCACTGTCATCAATAGCTAAGCTCTTTTTGGCTGCAGCTAAACTCATCTGCACAGGACACCGCATCATTAGGAAATAAATTGATGAATGGTCAGGATAATGGTTACAAATATGAGGCGTGCAGGGGAAAATAATAATAAAGAATCTCAGACTTAACGAATTAGGTTGATAAACTTCAGTGTAGTATTGGGTGTGACAGATAGATTTTTGGGCTAACAGGTTGGATGAATCCATAAAATATGTGGTTGCTGACTGAATCCTACTTCAGATATTAACTGATAACGAAATCTACCTGTAATGATGTCACCTGCTTTTGCCACAACTCTTCCATAGACTTGATTTTTGCCTTGTAATCAGACCATTTTGTCTCATATAGCTGGAGTTCCTGTTTCAATGTGAGATTCTCCTCTTCCTTAATTTTCAATGCAGCTTCTGCCTTCAAAACCCGTCTTTGGAGATCTTCATCAACTACATCCGCTAGTTGCTCCTTGTTTGTTTCCTACCATTATAAAGTACATTCATGAAACCCCATAAGCTCTGTGGATATTGTCATAGTAAAGAAAGAACATAAACAAAATATGAGTATGAACTCATTTTAACATGAGGAAAGGGAGGAGAAGGCAGTATAGATCGTCCTCATAAATGTTTGTAAATGTTCTAGGCAAAATATTAATAGCATTTACAATAGACTAAACCTACAATTTTATGAATGATCTGGCCAAGATTTTTTTCTCCCATCTGATGTATGTCTCCTATTACCGAAACTAATTTTATGAAAGGCGCCAAAACGAGTAGACTTATACAGAGAAATTTCTAATATTGTAACTAATCCCATCATCAAAGATCACAAAATCCATTAATATAGTACTTGCAAAGGTATATTAGCTGGAAATACTTTCTAATATTGTAACTAATCCCATCATCAAAGATCTCAAAATCCATTAATATAGTACACATATATAAGACTTCAACCAAAAAAAAACAATAATTACATATGGCATATATGATTGGGTATAGCAAACGAATATGATTTTTGGTCATTTTTGAAATTTTCAGTCCATTACATATGGTATATATGATTTATAACTTGACTCCTGTCGTGTTTCATTTCTTGATTTTGATTCAGAGACAAAGGACACAAACGAATGGGAAGCATCTAGAAAATGGCAACCATGTCCATTCTGAAACAATCATTTTTTGTTTTAAATGATTAAATTGAAGATGATTTGTTTGAAAGATGTAGTGAGTGTCAATATGCTGATAAACTATAATGTTAAGTACTTATGGAGAAAAAAAATACAAGTAATTTAGAATATGCTGATAAACTATATAAACCCTAGATCAGATCTGTATCTATTTCCTAGACCACAAATCAGCCATAGAAAATTAAAGCAGGAAAAAAGAAAATAATTCAGAAATACTGGTGAACTAGAGAGCCATCCAGTTCCTCCTCCTAACTTGAGCAAAAAAAAAATTGTGCCCTAGAATCAATAAAATCCAACTTCAGCGCGAAAGAAACAAAGAAAAAAAATCACATATTAGAATCACAAGTTAATGAGAAGAAGAATTAGAATCACAGAAGGATTATTACCAGCAAGCGCTCCTCTTTGCTGTTGTGGACGAAGAACGAACCGAGGAGAGAGAGAGACCCTCGGAAGCGGAAGAGGATAAGAACTGAAGAATAATAGGGGCAGGGGGAGAGGAGGCGGCGGCGGGAGGGGAGGTGGAGAGAGATCGAAACCAGAGAGAGAGAGAGGGGGGATCGCGACTTGAAAAGAAAGAGAGGATAGGTCGGGATTTGATAAATGACAACGGGTGGGTTGGAATTTGAAATCAGTTGTTTTGGGCTTTCAAATTCCTCTTTGTTAAATCAATGGATTTAAAATCTAGACTCAAATCAGAATCCAAACTAGATATTTGGATTTGAAATACCCTGTATTTTAAATCCAAACCCAAATCCAAGTTCCCAAACGCACCCTAAAAGCAGATCGTATTTTGGAAAAAAGTCGAAACTGCCCTTATCTTTCTTCCCCAGACGAGTCCTTGTCCCGAACAACAGAAGTCACTTCTCAATAATGCGATATGATGGGGGAAATGGAGGGAAATTTCCCCCTTTTTTTTACTCCATCATGAGCAATAACTAGTTAGTTCTCCATTACTCCTCCTCAGACCAAAATTCTCTCCATTACTCTCTCCATTACTCTTACTATCCCTTCAAAATGGCTGAAAAGGACATCATCTGCATTGTCTCTTCGCGGTATAAAGCGGTATTCTTGAAGATTAATTCTTCAACCACCATCTTGGATCTCAAGTTTGATGCGGCAGAGAGGTTAGATTTTCCATATGAGTCATTAATTTTGGCATACGAAGATGAAACAGTTAGAAGCTTAAAATTTCTCATTGAGAACGATGGTGATCTGACGTCTATGGTGGAGCATTGCCATAATCTTGGACTGAAAGAGGTTCACGTGCAAGCTTTTAAAGAAGGAGATGATTCTTCGAATAAACAGGAAAATGAGCAAGTCCGACAAGACATGTAGGTTAATTGTAAAATCAATTAACTTAAGTTCTAATCGGTTTCTTGTTAGGTCTATGCTAGGTTTAAATGGACTTCAGTTCTAATGTTTTATTTGTCATTAAGCAGTTCTTTGTTATGCTCCATACTAGAGTTCTAATGTTTTATTTGTCAGTTCTAATCGCTATTTTGTTAGTTCTACTAGAGTTATTGCTAGTTCCACTATAGTTCCCATATTGTTAGTCCTAATTGTTATAAATTAGATATAACGTGGTATAAATTAGATATAACATGGTATAAAATAGAACTAACAAGCCATCAGTTAGAACTGACACTAACACGCTACAGATTAGAACTAACACTGTGCAGATTAGAACTAACACGCTGCGGAATAGAACTAACATTGTGCAGATTAGAACTAACACGCTGCAGAATAGAACTAACATTGTGCAGATTAGAACTAACACTCTACAGAATAGAACTAACACTATACAGATTAGAACTAACACTCTACAGAATAGAACTAACACTGTATAGATTAGAACTAACACGCTACAGAATAGAACTAACACTGTGCAGATTAGAACTAACACGCTACAGAATAGAACTAACACTGTGTAGATTAGAACTAACATGCTGCAGAATAGAACTAACACTGTGTAGATTAGAACTAACACGCTACAGAATAGAACTAACATGTTATAATTTAGAAATAGCTTGTTATAAATTAGAAATAACTTCGTTAAATTCGAACTAACCTTTAATGGCTATATTGTTTGTTCTAATAGCTATTATGTCAGTTCTAATCAATGCACTGTTAGCTCTAATGGTTATATTGTTAGTTCTTTCTAGTTCTAATTGATTCTAACAGCAAGCAATTGTCGTTTTTGCTTTTTAGCTTTTGTTATTATCTGTTGATACTTCTACTATTTGTGTAGTTTATGATTAATTTTTTTTTGATGTTCTTAATATTTGTAGTGCTTCCAGCAGTTTGAACTCAAAAAGTGTAGACTGTGGCCCGTCGGCGTTGTGGACCATAAGTGTTCCAGATAAGAATCCTAATGACAATCCTTCCGGAGATGATGTCATGACGATTGATGACATGATTAGCAGATCAGAGAGGATTCCTGCTTGGTGGCACACAGCTTTAACCGGTGAGGGACAACGATTTGAAAGTGCGAAGGAGTTATGATTGGCCTTGCTATACTACTCCCTGGCAAAAAAATTCGAATACGAGTTTAGGAAGAATGAACCGAAGCGTATTCGAGTGTTTTGTCGGTTTAAGGAAGCCAAAAATTATCCGTGGATGTTATTTGCCTCTCCACCGAAAAATGATAATAGACTTGAAATCAAAAGGTTTGTGGACAATCACAGTTGTGGGCAGCATGGCAATAATGCTGGTCAATCTAGAGCCTCTAGGCGATTCATTGCTACCCAATTACAACCCACGTTAAAGGTTCGACCGGATATACGGCCTATTGATGTTCAAAAGGAGTTTCTAAGCTCGTATGGGATTAGGGTCGATTATAGTAAGATTTGATGGGGGTAAAGAAAGAGCACAAGAGAAATTATATGGTGATGCCCGTGAGTCCTACGATCAATTACGATGGTAAATAGAAGATGATATCTAACAAAAGACAAACTAATTTCCTTTATGTGACGTTGATTATACTAATTTTTCAATGTTGGTACTAATGCTTAATCTTCAATTTTCTAGTTATGTAGAAGAGGTCAAGAAGACAAACCCGGGTAGCTATATTCATGTTGAACAATATGAGGGGAGGTTTACAAGGTTATTCATATGCTACGCCGCCTGCATAAATAGTTTTTTATACGGCTGTAGACCACTCTTATTTTTGGATGGTACCTTTCTTAAAGATCGATTCAAAGGCATACTCCTAAGCGCTGTAGCAGGCGTATTGTATATGCGATCAGGAAAATAATGTTAACTGGAAGTGGTTCTTACAAGGTTAGTTCTATCCCTAGCCATGTTAGTTCTATTGCAGGTTATGATAATTCTAGCTCATTCATTGCTAACTCTATAATTCGTGTATGGTAACCGCAACTCTTTGTAGGTTTGTGGTCTATTCTCTATGAAAGGCCATATCCATACAACCCTCCACACAAGCTAGTGATAATTTCAGATGCAGATAAGGGGATCATAGAAGCAGTTAGAGAATTTTTTTCTAGATTCTATATACTCTCGATGTGTGTTGCATCTAGTTGAGAACTTCAGGACAAAGTTGAAGGATTTGGGATTCAAATCAAAAGATACTCAGATCTTGGGTAATCTATTGCAATCTGCATGTTATAAATATACTAGAGTAGAATGGAACGATTACATGGACGACATTAGACTGGTTGACGAAAGAGCTTACAATATTGTGATGAACTACGT